TCTCCATTAATTATGCAAATTACATCCAGATTTGCATAATTGCCGCATAATTATACCGACCATCACGTAAGCTACCTACATACCAAAAATCACGACGATCCGTCCACCGGTTCTTGAGTTATCCTCTTTTGAATATTTTCAATCAGACAGACCTGCAGTTCCTGAGCAAGCCGCTAGGGGGCCCAAGCTCACGCCACTTCTTCCCCAGCAAAAGAGCTACCTACCATCCAGATTTCGTCACCCCAGCATGTGTAGATCATGAGATATCAAAACTGGAAGTTCAGCTGCAGTACCACAACAAGCCGCTAGGGGGTCCAAAGTCTAATCATTTCCAGGTCCCATCAAGACCTACCCACCTACCAAATATCAAGATAATCCACCTAAGCTTTCTCAAGTTATGCTGTTGACAGACTATACGCTATCAAAAACTCATCTGTAAATCCTCAAATACACAAAAGGGAGATAAATCCCCAAGCCATCGCTAATACACGCAGCTAATAGCAGGTAACAAGATCACAAGTTTTTAAAGGCTAATAACAGGTCAAACCATGAAAAATGTCAGACTTTTTGGCCATATTTTAAAAATATACATTCTTCTGTCCTTCTTACCAGAAAACTGGGCCTTTCTGAGCATAATTTGCACAAGAAAAAAATTATCTAAAAAAGAAGTACCAAAATAAATCGTCGGTGTACACACTGCTAGTATGGCAATTACCCATGACCCGCAAGAGGCTCTCTTTTGGCTCACTGTGCCCCACCGCAGTACTCAGGTCAAAATAAGCGTATACGTCCGGCAATCGCCCGGACGCCGAAACTTCCCTGCCTGATCCTGTCAGTAATAAACAGGCTTTCATCTCAAATCCTTTTTAGATCAGGTCTGAGGGATGAAAGGGATTTTATGGTGGACCTAAACCCACGCTGTTCGGACACAATCATTTTTTTGTCGGGACTCTTTTAGACCCTACACGTGCGGAGTAATTTTCTTTCTTGAGGAACATGCACTAAACGGTGCACACCCCAGTTCTTGCGCGACCGGGGTAGTCCGTTGTAAAAAAAGTGACGAAAGGGTTTTGAGGGTCCAAGTTTGAGGTGACATTTCTAATAAACTGCCACGAAGTATCATTAAACTTTAACATGGCTGAAGAGTGTAACCGAACCTTACTTCCGGGTATCCTTGCGCGCCAAGTGTAATCCGCCCGTTTGACCTAGATTTCGCTCTGCGGCTTCGTAGGGGTGGATTTGCAACCCCTCGCGCCGTGGACTGTTTAGAAAATTACAGTACTAGAATTTTCTTTATAATTTACTCGGGTATAGTCAAGGCTTGGGTCTTTCTGCCAGCATCAGTCATTTCTGCCGGAAAATTTTTTTGTGGGATTATCCTACGCGAAAATTCGCAATTTTGGGCATTAATTTTGGAGTGAAAATAATGTTTTTTCCGTTGATTTTACCAAACTTAAAAAGGTTGAAGAAACCAAACTCAGCTTGTCTTGTAGCTGAAGAGATATCCTTTCGTCCCATATACAGTTATTCTCCTTCCGAATTATTCCACGCCAGAGACGGTCGCTAGATTTGAGGGTGTGCAGCTTCGAATAGAGGCCCCAAATAAATTGGGGTGTGCCCCCTAAAACGCTGTTTTCCACGATTGCATAGCCACATTTAGTGAAAATATGATTGCCACAATTCAAAGAACCTTTGGGGAAAATATATATCTATTTGCGGATTTATGGCATTTTTCCACATAATTTTACGTTCGTTCAAGGACCTGTATAATGTCCTTGTTCGATAACCCGGAAGTGTTAGCTACGTAACCTTCGGCGTGACGGCCCGGTGCTCTCTATACATGTTTCCGAGCAGATCGAGGTCTGTCCCGGCAAGAAGCTTTCATCACACGGTGATAGAATGTCCTTGGTCCTGGTGATGTCCCGTACTTTAGCATACACCACTTTACTACTCGCAAAACTTGCGTTTGATTGTATCTAATTTAAAACGTCAGGAACGACTAATATCTCACCACGTCCACCCGCCAATGATACCAGTGCCTTGTTGAAAACAAATCTTTCATCGACACCGAACACCCCCTTTGTGGAACACCCCTCGGTGACAAAAAAGTGAACCAATCTCACCACAAACACACCAAAGGTCAACCCGGGCGACCATTTTCAGACTCAAACTGAGTCAAAGGGGTGTCCGGGGGCCGCCAATAAAATTCATTTTCACGCCCGAAAACACATATACAATAAGAACAAAAGAACGTGCACCATCTACAGCCCAATAGCAGAACGTATACCGAGTCCCAATTACATCTGTCCACCCCAACGCGAGATACAACTGCGATCATTTTTCTTTGGTCCTGACGGAAACTACGATAATCATCTTCAAAAAGCCTACACTATACATACACACAACACCCACGAAAGCAATATCACACTGTCGAAGGCATGAGTCCTCCGAACTCATGTCGTAAAATGTGGTGAACCCATCGCTGTATTTGCTCCAAAGCAAATATTGGCCTTTCTAGTATTAGAATAATTTATTGCCTCTTTTAATCCTAACTACATGAGATGATTGTCTGTACTTACCTCGTCCCTAGCCTCCACATCAGCGCCATGTTGAATCAGCAGCTTCACTACCCCAGCCTGCCCGTTCCTGCTGGCCACATGGAGTGCTGTCCTGTCACCCTGTGTAACACACGGAGAAATTTATAGAAATCTTCTACCGCCATCAGTAATATTAGAATAATTTATTACCCCTTTTAATCCTAACTACATAAGATGATTGTCTGTACTTACCTCGTCCCTAGCCTCCACATCAGCGCCATGTTGAATCAGCAGCTTCACTACCTCAGCCTGCCCGTTCCCGCTGGCCACATGGAGTGCTGTCCTGTCACCCTGTGTAACACACGGAGAAATTAGAAATCTGCTGCACATTAGTTGGTTCAAACAGACTACAAAAAGGACAGAAAGATAGAATTTTTAGTTTAAGATAAAAGTACTTTACACTAATTGATAGCCTAGACGCCAGACCCGTAGCACACCAGACCTAAAATTATCTGGTGTTCATAGCTAGCTTTAGGCCTAGTGTGCTATGCGTCTGGCCTTCAGGTTATACGATTGACAACCATGTATCTATAGAACAAACGTACATGTAACAAAACATTGTGGCTATGAATCATTGGAAAGTGCAAACTTTTTAAAGGCGCAATAACTTCAATCAAATATGTATTATCATAACTTTCGTAGAGTGTTAAAAGCTTCCTACTATTTAAAACTTTATTATCATATAGCCGGGTGACGTTGACCAATCAGAAGGCTCCATTCCACATTCCTTATGACGCCGTAATGTCACAAATCGAGTCAAACCCGGGTCATTATTCATTCCAATCCATACATTAAACAATCAAATAATCACCCGCTTATAACCTCCGATGGCCCAAATAAAACACGATTCTATTCCAAAAATAACTTGTGGATGGCCTCGGGTGACTCCCATAAGAACACCTGTTCCCTGCCAATGACCCAAATATAACACGGCCCTGCCCCAGTGTCCTCAGGGGACTCCAGATGGAACACATGTTCTATTTAAGTTTGTATGTGTTATACAGGAATGTGTCACTCTTACTGTGTAAGTTTTGATAGGCTATATGATAATAGCGTTAATGGCCCGCCCTATCTCGGTGACGCTCACTCGGTGGCTTTATTCGGTGGTAATAGCAACTGACAAGGTTTTATCACACTATATTCACCTCGGGGCGGGTCATTAACCCTTAATTAAACCGCTGCCTTGGTTGGTTAATGGTCCCAAATAGTCCAGAAATCAGATAATATTCTCAGGATAGATATTTCCAACAGTAATTAATTGCCCCTTAATTCTAACTACATGAGATGACTGTACTTACCTTGCTTCTCACCGTCAGATCAGCGCCATGTTGAATCAGCAGCTTCACTACCCCAGTCTGCCCGTTCTTGCTGGCCACATGGAGTGCTGTCCAGCCACCCTGTGTAAACACACAGTGAAATTACTAGAAAGCTGCTGCCCATTGGTGGATTCAGACTCTCAAGGACAGCATGATAGGATTTTGAAATCCGCGACTAAATAATTTTAAAATGGATGGTGATTAAAACTTGCTTGCTTCTTTAAAGTCACAAAAAACGCCATGACATCTGCATGTATTTCTACGAGGAATGTTTCTAATAGGAATGTCAAAATTATTTACACTGTGTGGCCGATGCATTTATTCACAACTAGAGTTCGGAGGGCTCATGCCTTCGACAGTGTGATATTGTTTTGGTGGGTGTTGTGTGTATGTAATAGTGTAGGTTTTTTGAAGATGATTATCGTAGTTATAGTAGTCAGTGAGTCCTTTTGTGGATGAAGCAACATACTATTTCCCAAGCCTGTATCATGTCTTTCTACGAAAATACGGATCGTAGAATTCGGCAAAAAAGGAGAGAGAATTGGCCTGGAGAGTCTGGCCGGTGTTTTTCTTCCCTCCGATGCGCGGCGATCCAAACTTCAAAATGGCAAAAGCTCCTTCAACTAAATTATTCTTCTATTCAGCCAGCGTTGTTGAAGCGTGTGTCCAATATACGTTGGAAACAATTGCACTACAAAATGGCCAATTGTTGTGATGGAATGCGGTATGTAAGATAAATGGGTTACGTTCCTCCCGTGAGTCGCAAATTGTATCTCGGGCTAACTCCCTTTAGCGGCATACTATTCCCTTTATTTTGGCCATTTTCTACTATTTTTCCAGCGATCCATGGTGCCTGGACCAGGCCATTGTGTACAGTATACCAACTTTGTTCCCGATTCCAGATGTTTACACTGGTGGTCACAGTGCTGTCAAATTAGCGATGCTTAAGCACGCCCCTGCTGGGGACTGTTGTTTCAACAAACAACCATTGACATGATTGAAAGAAAATGTTTTCGGAAGAAGCCACTGCTGACAGCTTCCTGTCTGTAACTTGCTGTTTTAACCTAGATATAAAACCAGACCAAGACTTCGCCTGCCCTTACTAACCAACAATCACCAAAAGCCCACTACAGTAACGTACGGACCTCCCACGACGACCATTTCCGAACTAGATCATCCTATCGTCAACGGTAACATGCTCAAAAAATTATCCTGCTAACAATAATAACGACCAACACAAAAGGTCAAATTCAATGACATGGGAACTTGACCTTCATATTCTCAACGGTAACTTGCCAACTGTGTGCCTAACTGTGTGTTTGTGTTTCCGCACATTTGTAGTCAGCATAACTTCATAACGGCCTTTATGGACTGTGATGATATTTGGTATGCTGGTAGGTCTTAAGAAGACAAAGGTCAAGGTCAAATATGGGCCTCCTGGTGGATGACCTTGGTACTGTAGCAGAACTTCCGGTTATGTATCTTTTGTCCTGAACATGCTATGGTCTTGAATCTGTGGTGACAGATAGCTTTTCCTGTTTGGTCCCCCTACCAGCTTGTTCTGGAACTGCAGGGGACCTTCGGGCGAAATCTTTCAAAGCCAATAAGTCCAGATAGAAACAACAAACATGTATTTTCATTATTTGTGGTAGGTAGGTAGCTGAGAGAGAGATGTACACGATTGAATGCAAATTATGCAAATGAGGACATAATCTGCATAATTAATGAGGAAATTCTATAATTACAGTGTTTTACATTATAGTACTTTCATACATGTAATATATGTAATCTATGGCAGTAGAACGTCAACAGATACCAGATACCAATTATGCAAATGATGACCTAATTTGCATAATTAATTGCGAAAATTATATGATTTCTTAATGGTGAATGATGGCAATTCTGTACCTTGTGACATGTGTAGGTTACTTAAATGTTAACAACACTATGCATATATTATGTTAATATAGAGGCAATTTGCATAATCAATGAGGAAGTTTAAATGAGGATGTTTACATGAAATTTTGCCAAAGGATAGGAGTTTGACAAGCAAAATATTGTAAGTTGAGTTTAGAACACCATAAATTAAACTACATTATATTAATTGCCACCTTATTTTCATATTCAATTAAACAAAACATTTACATTAACTCTACATATTTCATGGAGGTATGAAATCTCAGAATTCTTGTTGTGAATATGTTCTTAATGAATCAAACTAAGGTCCAAGAATCACAACGACTTGCATTCATGTTGTTTTTGATAGAATAAATGGATAAAATGATTGAGGCAACGATTTGAACACGTTAGATGCCATCATCTCATGCTACACTGGGCATCTGTACCACAATCACGGTTTATGCTTCGGTCCCAATTGCGCCGTAGCCCGTCGGGGATGTAGCCCCGGCCGGTCCCGGTCGGGCTCAGGTGTCGGCAGTGCATCGGCTGTCGTGGTCACAATTTAAAGTTTCCTTAATAAACATTTTGTTGTAAATTTTGTCAGCCTCTATGATCGGTCTCCGGCAGGCACCCGGCAGGTACCCGGCAGATTCTCTGACGATGTCTTGTACTGACCTATACGTAGTGCAGAATTCACGCTTTTGTTGTGATCATTTAATATGAATGAATGAATGAATGAATGAATGAATGAATGAATGAATGAATGAATGAATGAATGAATGAATGAATGAATGAATGAATGAATGAATGAATGAATGAATGAATGAATGAATGAATGAATGAATGAATGAATGAATGAATGAACTTTATTGCTCGACAATCGTACATGGTACAATGTGTGGCAGTAATACAACAAAACTACAAAACTAAACTATCTTATTACATTTCTTACTACAAACTACTATCTATACAGTATATGAGTTACAATATGTTCATGTATTGATGATATGGTCTCGCTTATGAAATAAAGTGTACAGAAATTGGCCTACGTAAGCAGATATGGTAGTTGGACATGACAATAATTCATGGAATGTATCATACTGTGTACCAGATTGGCTGAACTTAGTGGTAATAGTCTGTAACAATGTATCTCTTTCTTTACTATATGTGGGGCAAGTCATAACAAAGTGAAATTCATCTTCAATACTCTCATTACATGCGGAACACAGTCTCTGAGTGGCTGGTGTGTTGTGGTGTCGACCTTTTTCAATTTGAAGACAATGCGCGCTGATTCTCAGTTTACTTATGCTAGTTGCGAACTATTTATTATAAATTGATGTGAGATAATCTTCCATGCCAAAGTGCTTTTTGATTTTAGAATATGTATGAAGTTTACTAGTGTTTCTAAGTTGTTCTCTCCAGCCAGAAAGAAACGTGTCTGTGACGTCACACATTTTAGCCGGGTTTACGAAGTATACACCTTTATTCTGTTCATCTGGTCTGTGACGTAACAAATGTGTCAATGTGGACTGCCGGCAACCGGAGGGGTACCTCTCGGTGTTCTCACGATGAGGTCACGGCGTCTTTTTGTCAGCGGGGCCCGGATAGAATTTAATTCAGACTTAAATTCTTCTCGGGCCCCCGCCGGGCCCAATATCCCGGTAGCCACAGGGTGTCCCGTGGGGCCACGTACGGGTCACGCCAAAAGTGCCAAAAAACAGCCCGGGGACTACCCGGCAGGGCCCCTTTTTTCAATTGGGACCGAAGCATTATCAGTACGCCACGATCTATCATGATGAGGTGGACGACATGCCAACAAGACTGGCAATGAAAACATACATTGCCATGGCGATGGTGGTTGCTGTTAGGGTTATTGTTTGCATGGCACTGTCATGATCTCATGATTTTTAGGAGGGCCTGGTACCTGTTAAGTGTAGACAGATACAGTTTACTCCTCCCCTGAGTGTATAGTGCACGAGCCCCGGGGTTAGAGAAAGTAGGGCATCGGGGCAGACAGGTTTCCCGCAAGGGTTTCCAGGAATGTGGGCATAAACGTGGGTCTGCAAACAGGCTGGGAGACATTCCGGTGGACATTCTATGCCTGTGGACAAATTATCTGTGCAATTCCTAGAATTCTTGCAAATTGCACACAATACTGTACCATTAGGCTCCTCCCTGAGATGTCGCCAAAATCTCAGGACATGATTGTCTATACTTACTTACTCATACCTCCCCCAAAGAAATGTCATGTGATACCGACAACAATAGAAATGTACCCGTCTATTTAGTACGTATTATTGTTTACTGGTTTCAATTGTTATCCCTCAGGGTGCATTGGGGATCTTCCGTTTCGGATAGCTTTTGCTTCGGCAACGGTGTTCCCCAGGGGAGTCTACTTTCCCCTCTACTATTTAATGCATACGTTACGAGCCTTACTGTTAAGTTAAACGCTGCCAATGTGGGCTGCTTTATTGGCAGTCCCTGTAAATCATCTTTTGTATGCCGACGACTTTTGTTTGATATGTCCCTCGGCGAAGGCCCTACAGAAACTGGTTCATATCTGTGAGACTTTTGGTGCCGAAAATGATATGACCTTCTGTGACAAGAAGACGAACTGTATGTTTTTCCCCTGTCGCCGAAGCCGCTTGTCTACATCTAGTACGCCACCATCTGTGAAACTGTACGGCACACCACTGCCTTATGTGCTTTCGGTCGCCTACCTTGGCTTCCAAATTACACCGGACCTTTCTGACGACGATTCCATCCGTAATCAAACCCGCCAGCTGTACACAAAAGCGAACTCTTTAATCCGAACTTTCGGCAACTGCTCCGCTGAGGTTAAGCGAATACTCTTTGTAGCGCATTGTTCCCCCATGTACTGCGTACAACTATGGAGCAATCATAGCGCAGGTGTGTTGCAGAGGCTGCGAGTTGCCTACCATGATGCTGTCTCAGCCTCGCTCCACTAGTAACAGCTTGTTCTTTGCCCAGTTGGGCGTCGACACCTTCGACGCCAGGAGGCGAAAGCTGACGCACTCTTTTGCGGCCCGCCTCCTGGCGTCGGGTAACGGCATCATTAGTTTGCTCTTACGCTCTGATGCCTTCCCCAGAAGTCAGTTCTGGCGTCGATACTGCCAGTTGGTAAGCAGACCTTAAATAGGCCCTCGCTCAGTTTCTTTTATCCTAGACATTGTATTTTTAGATTTATGTATTTTGTGTTGTCTATGTTGTCTATGGGTTCTGCCTGAATCAAACAATAAATAAATAAATAAATTCGGTGTATGGAATACGAGCTGCACAGCAAAGCGATAGAAACACCAGCCATCCAATTGCAAAACCAAAAACGTTCATAAGCTGCAGTTACCAATGTAAACCTCTGATTGACGTCCCTCCCGGCCTGAAGAGCAATCCTCACGGTCTGTTCGTCTCCAGTCCCTACAGCCTTCCAAAGCTCGTGCTCGTACATGGCAGGTCGATACTCCGGGCACCTGCTGTGTAAAAGCAATAAATACTCTTACTGCTGACACATTATTCATCAGTTCTTGATTGACTCGAAGTTTTATTCCTCTGTTCCAATTGCGATGATTTGATGTTCACCTAGATGTACGTTACTCCTACTTACAGGGCTATTGTTTTACTGATCACAAAGGTGAAGAAAACTATAACTTCATAAACATCAATATCTCAACTATCTAGATATCAACAAAAGTTACGTATTAAGTATGAAATTCCCACCGTTTATCAATAATAAATCATTTCACGTTATGTCCTAAATTAATTAGGTCCTCATTTGCATACTTTTCTATCTATACATGTGCTGCCTGCTATAATATATATTCGTTAAATGTATCAAAGTCCTATTATGTACAGCACTGGAACTCTAGAATTTCCTAATGAACTTTGAAAGGCAAGTCCTAATTTGTCTTCTACATGTACATTGCTGTGGCATAGTTAGGCCACAGCAAGTAATTTGTATGGATAACATCAGCGCGCGCATTCAATTTCGCCTGAGGCCATGTTGATTTGATTATATGGATGACATCCTCTGGGAACCCCAAAACTGATGCGCGCTTGCGAATAAAAAAAAATTTTGCAACAAAAAAAGTTGCTTTCACTATGAAATCTACGTGGTCATGAAGGTTGAACAAATGGCACAGAGTATGTTATGGCGAATAATCTACTCTTCGAATTCATTTCTTTACAATTTTGTCTTTTTCCTTTGATTTTGGCATTCTACGACATTGGTATCGTTTCTAAATGTTTTCCTTGCAACTTATGATATATTTTTGCTCTTTTAGCAACTGTTTTGCACGATTTACAGTATGGTTGAAAACTTCTTTTTTTTTTTGGAAACCATCCATATAATCAAATCAACATGGCCTGATTTTGAAAAAAAAATTATGTTGCCCTATGACAGTGTTCAACGTGCCAAATGGGTAAAGATGTCTGTTTTGTCTTTACTTTGATGCAGTGATGTATTCATTTTACATATGATGTTCCCACTAAATCAAAATCAATTGTACCATGATTGAAAACGTTTATTTTTCAATGACAATGGATTTGAAAGTTACCCAGCACAATACAGGTGTAATTTTATGTTTAACAAGGTTTGTGATGTCAAAATTTGAAAAGTAGGAATTTTTTTTGCCCGTCTTGTTTTGTTTTCTGTGGAGGATGTCATCCATAAAATTTACCTCCGGATCCGCATTGGGTGCGTTTCTGTATGACGAATTAATGTGGGAAATACGTTTCTTCGCAGGACAGTATTACTCACAAAGTTTCCATGCTCCTTATTATATAAATTGAGAGAGGGCGGTATAACAGGCTGCATGTGTGAACGAACGAATTTGCAAACATTGTACGTTGAATACGGTGGAAGACAAACGCATTTTATCTCAAATTGTACCCTCTATAGTAATGAACGAAGTGAACTCTTTGACGTAGCCTCCAAATTCTAACCAAACTTTCACACATACACAAATGACATTAACAACCGAAAACCCACAAATTACAGACAAGGGGGATCCTTTGTCTTCCTCTGTCTTAAAAAAAGAGTCAAACCCAGTAGTTTTTTACTAGTAGTTTCTTAGTAGTTATCAGTAGTTCTATGTGTATTAATTGTCTGTTTTTATACCAAATGTTTCTTCTGTTCCTGCAATTAGCCCTCGGGCATGAATTTGCAATAAAACTTAATATTTCCTGAGCTGAAGAGACAGTTCGCGACAACTCCCACACAGACACCAGCTCAGACAAGGAGAACACGAAAACAAATCAGGCATGTATTTGACAAATTGTACTAAAACATCCTGCGCAAATTACAAAGTAAAACTTACCTCTACTTGCGCCTGCTCGTAAAATGGACGAGATCTAACGTCTGGGACGTCTTTCCCAAAATGGCGGTCTGGTTTACTCTACAAGTTCCGCTTTTGCGGTCAGTGAAAAAGCCTGTGGGTCATGTTGACTGTGAGCGACAGGTGAAAGACGACTCGCTTGATTTGTTTACCAAAGGAGGGTTGGCTGTCGATCGTTTCAAGGGACTGACAACAACACGGCGGTAGTGACAGAAGGGTTTGGGAGACTTCAAATGTGTTGCCTATCCGATATTAAGTCATGAAACACGTCAGCTATAGTCTGTCCGAGGAAGCTGACTTGAATGCTCTTGGCAATCTATCATTCAAAACCTCTTAAACAAGTCATCGATTCTTGAATTCGTATGCGCCTTTTCCAATCATAAAGTTCAGGCTAGTAGGTAGGGGTAAATATCTTCTAGCGTAAAGGGAAACAAATCACGAAAAACACTACATTTAAACAGCCTGAACACCTTTGAATCGCTAGGTAGGACACCACTATCAATGTAAAATCATTTGCAACAAGGAAAACAGGCATATGCTATTGTGTTATATTGTGGCATATGTGTTAGTAAAATGTTCAACGTCATCAATGATATTCCCAGGAACATTAACCCTCAAACACCCGAACTTTTTTTGCGACGGAAATGACCGAACGCGGTCCAAATGAACCCCATTTGGTTTCTTTCAAATTTACATTCCTTTTTGCATCCTTTCAGTGACCTTTGCACATATATTGGTTAAACGTAGTAAGAGGTATATTTTGGCATGATTAACGTTAAGAGTACAAAATTCCAGCTCATTATCATAATTTGTGCAAAAAATAGGATGAAGAATGAACATATGGTTGACCTTTGACCTCATATTATTGTCAAAGGTCATGACCTCTGAAAACCTGATGACCTAATTCCTGAGGCTGAGGTTATTTGGCAAACTGCATAATATTAAAACAATAATGCTTCCTTGAAGACATATGGAGGACATCCGAATAATTTTGTGTGTAGGAAAGTGTAAATACGTTTGGACACCAGGCGGTCTTACATCAGACTTCCGTTGTTATTTTTACAAATTCGTGTCGATCTCCAAAAACAAAATTAGGAGAACTTCAAGAAGAGGTTTATTGACAAAGTCACGGGAGGAATTTTTTTCGGGTGTTTGAGGGTTAAACATGTTGCCTAATCCTATGTAAAATAGTATCAGGAAATAGGATAATTTAGGCTGCTGGGTATGGAGCTTGGGGCTCTGGTGCGGCAAATATACTGTTCCAGCGGACCGACCCCCTCCCCCCCCTGGCATGTATAATGTTTTTTTTCTACTCTTCTCTAGATCTGAAACCTGGTAGAGGCTACGCATGATGACTAAATAGATAAATGTTCTCTGACGCAGTTAGTCTTACTGCACGAACTGGACTCAATTCGAACGCGAAAGACATACCTGTCCTTGGTGCTGAACTCCATTCAAACACAAGAAACACACCTGTCCTTGGTTCTGAACTCTATTCAAACACCAAAAAACACCTGTCCTTGGTGCTGAACTCTATTCAAACACTAAAAACACACCTGTCCTTGGTTCTGAACTCTATTCAAACACCAAAAACACCTGTCCTTGGTTCTGAACTCTATTCAAACACCAAAAACACCTGTCCTTGGTGCTGAACTCTATTCAAACACCGAAAACATACCTGTCCTTGGTGCTGAACTCCATTCAAACACCAAAAACACACCTGTCCTTGGTGCTGAACTCTATCCAAACACGAAACACGCCTGTCCTTGGTTCTGTGTATTGTTGTAATAACGTGCCCTCATTATTTTCAACAGAGTACGTGCTCCAAAATAACTTCACGTATAACGTCAATGCACAACATGTATGAGTATTCCTTCTAGTCCCCTTCTAAAGGTAAGGGTAATGACGTAACTGTTGAACAAATAACACTACATTCTTCACTGATCAAAACCTCTCGTCTTGTACTTTATACCGTTAACAGATATATTTTAAAAACACAAGGAAACTGACTTCTTTCGCGCAAATTCTCTTTAATATACAGAAGATACATGACATGGGGAAAAAGGTACATTTTCCCTCACAAGACGTTCATGAAAAAGGAGATATAACAATGAAATGTGTGATGTTGACGTGGGTAAGTAACAGAGCATCTCTCAGGCATTTATGTCTTTAGGCCACACCAATTTGATTTGTTGGTTCTCGGATTTTTTAAGAAAAATTATGAAGCGACAGGGAGAAAAAAAATGAAAACATACTAAGGCATCCTATGATAGCCCCAAATGGCATGATCGGGGCCATGAAGTCAACACACTGGGCTAGTTTGTAATTCAAACATTAAATTTCAAACCTTTAATCAAACCACTGCATTGATAGATGGAAAAACTGTAACAACTCTAAAGAGAAGTGACCTCCTTTAACTGTTCTGACCAAAATATGAACATTTTGGAGTTGATTCAGAGGCTGAAATGTGTTTTTTTTTGCAAATAAGAAAAAAATGAAGCGGGCGAATCCGTGAACCAACAAATTAAATTGGTGTGGCCTTAGTAGAAAAAGAATTGTTACCAATTAACGTCACTGTAAAACAAGCAATTGAACAATGTTTCTCAAATATGCACCAACCCATTACCGAGCGTGGCAAGAAAAGTTAATAGCATCTGTCGTAGGCTTGCTTTCTTGGCAGGGGTATTCCTTTTTTTTCATTAAAAGTATAACTTCATCAGAAGCTCATACTCATACAACATAAAAATATACATATCGGTTCCAACCACGTGTGGATCTGTCTCTGACTTAAGTGATCTGTGCCGTGCAGATGTAGCTGTAGGCCACCGACGCCGCCACCACCAAATCAAACACCGTAAATGCGACCGTCTCAACCCGCTCGATACCCCCGATCATGTGTTGCTTCCCATCGTGGCTTGTCGCGTTTTTCGTCGACGTTTCTGTGGCGTTCTCCACCCACACCTTGCCTTCTGTAGCCATCTCCGTCTTCTCCATCTCGCCCTTTGTTTTCTCATCAGTTGATGTGTCCGGCTTCACCGCAGACTGGGTCATCTTACAGGCGGGAACAGACTGGGTCATCTTGTAAGAGGCGGCCGTCATCTTAGGATCAAACTCGCGGTTGAGAACCTTGTAGAAGTGCTTCCTGATGCGAAGCCGCGCCATGGCGAGGTACACGTTGCGCTGATCTGTCGTCATGAAGGCCCAGGACTTGAGTATATCCGGTTTGCCGTCAATTTCCTCCTGCACGGTGCATCCAAAGACGGTTGGCCCCTGAATAGGTGGTGTTGGGGGAGCATCACGAGTGATCACATCGTCGGGAATCTGAGTCGGGTCGTCTCCAAATACGGGCTTTACCGGGAACATTTTCCTGGTGTTGTGCGCCACCTCGGGATCCGTCCCTGTACTGTATCCCCAGCTTCGGTACGGGGGAAGGTGGGCAGATGTAGTATCTGCAGCCGTGTTGTTGTAGTACCACTGAACTGTGACGGTCTCAGTAACCACCTGAAATAAACACATTCTGCCATAGTAACAGAGTTTAGACACAGGCAAGGCCTGGGTGGGCAACCTTTGCGACTTAGTCGGGAAAATGTTTCATCATGTTCTGTGAACAATCGTCTAAACTTCCTCAAGATTAATACATAATAAAGCTGAAATGATTTTCACGATAGTCCATGCATGAAGAACAGCTAAGCAAAGTAAACTAAGGCTACGCAGTCTTAATTTTATGGATGACATCCTCCGAAGACCCCCAAACTAATGCGCGCGGGCGAATAAAAAAATTCCGATCAAAAATAAAAATTCTACTAAACCACAGGAATACAAAGCTGGTATTGTGAATTTCCAGCAGTGCATAGCGACGTACACGACAAGCCGGCACATGCTGGCTTTTTGCGGAATTTATGCATCGGCACTGTAGTATGTACTGAGTTCTTGAGTCGTGGAACTTTGGTGCCATCGGTGCCATCCTCCAGGGTTACCACTGGCTCCGTATTGTCGCTAACAACCATGAAATACCCAGGCCTAGAGCCAGGCCAGAGCCTTGGAGGACGTGATCTTTTTTTTTTGAGAACAGGCGAAAATCAATGCGCGCGCGGATGTCATCCATAAAATTAAGGCCGTGTGGCCTAATGGGTAATCAGTAGTCGATGGTGACAGATCAGACTACCTATTTTGACATATGTGAAAGATGGTACAGAGATATGAAGTGATAATGTAGCAGACTCACCGTAGTCACAGTTACAAGGAGCAACATGGTGATCATAGCCGCTTTAAACACCAGCCGGTGTCCGCCCTGCGGCTCAGCCGGCAGGTTACAGGCCGGGAAACTGGGAGAAGTAGCGGCTCGAGCTCGAGACCGCCGCTGCCTTTGCCGGCCACCTCGTCTCGACATGATGGCTCAAGAAACTTGACAGAGGAAAGGAGTAGCTGACGTCTACGTCTGTTCCGCTCTGAGTCAGTCAAGATTGTAAACAAACCACATCGAACGCCGTTGCTAGTCTAGAACAAAGGGAGTTGGCGGTTCCAGAACAACTTTTCGAACAATGGGTCGTTGTAGAACTACAAAATGTAGGACGACGCCAGAGCACAACTGAGCGAACACGGAAGTGGCGCTCCCTTTTAGGCGTCCTTGGTACTGAACTCTATTCAAACACCAAAGACACGCCTGTCCTTGGTACTGAACTCTATTCAAACACCAAAAACACACCTGTCCTTGGTACTGAACTCTATTCAAACACCAAAAACACACCTGTCCTTGGTGCTGAACTCTATTTAAATACCAAGAACACACCTGTCCTTGGTACTGAACGCTATTCAAACACCAAAAACACACCTGTCCTTAGTACTGAACGCTATTCAAACACCAAAAACACGCCTGTCCTTGGTACTGAACTCTATTCAAACACCAAAAACACACCTGTCCTTGGTACTGAACTCTATTCAAACACCAAAAACACACCTGTCCTTGGTACTGAACTCTATTCAAACACCAAAAACACACCTGTCCTTGGTGCTGAACTCCATTCAAACACCAAGAACACATCTGTCCTTGGTACTGAACGCTATTCAAAAACACGCCTGTCCTTGGTACTGAACGCTATTCAAACACCAAAAACACACCTGTCCTTGGTACTGAACGCTATTCAAACACCAAAAACACACCTGTCCTTGGTGCTGAACTCTATTCAAGCACCAAAAACACGCCTGTCCTTGGTACTTAACTCTATTCAAACACCAAAAACACACCTGTCCTTGGTGCTGAACTCCATTCAAACACCATAAACACACCTGTCCTAATATATAACATTTGGATGATAGACAAAGTAAATTCTCTGGTCATTTCTTCGCAAAGTTAGTTGAATCAACCCGTATGTGGCAAATATGTGCCATTCAATATAAATTCTGGACCAAAATTAAAATAAACATGGCTGAGAGCTAAGTTATAAGCTTTTAAACACACTCGCAGGCACATGGCATTAGTTTGTGAGTGCGCCTTGTGTGAGCTGTTTTAATGTCAACCATAAATGTCAGATAATTAATTGCACACATATATGTTGAAAAGTACAATCACTCCAATATTTTTTCAAATAAAAGATGTCAATTTTTGGTGCAAAATGTGACATATAAATTGCGTCCGGACCGCTGCAGTCATTATAATGAGTCGCTAGGAGTCTCTTGATAAGTTGCCATGTTCCGCTTTTGTGCCTTTGGTCTCATACGCCAATTTCACTGTCCCATAGACTTACACCTTAAAACACGTCACTATTTTGGCTGTGAATCCAATCAAAAACCGTAAATCAAGAGGTTTTTTTATTTCTATAGCAAGCACACATATCATTTAAACAGTAAAAAAAAATCCCCCAATTCTAACCACTAGTTCGATATCTACGTCACATATAACTGCAATTACGCATGATCCGCAAGAGGCCCTCTCATGCATGGCTCACAGTGCCCGACCGCATAACTCAGGTCAAATAAGCGTACACGTCCGACAATCGCTCGGACCCCGAAACTTCCCTGCCCGATCCTGTCAGTAATAAACAACCTTTCATCTCAACCCCTTTTTAGATCGGGTCTTTTTAGATCATTATTTCCATACTGCATTTGAATTGTTGACAGAGATGTTTTATCCAGAACGGTGCTTTACCTAGAGCCATGCTTAGGTAAATTCTGTAATGTCCACATATACATGAATCTGGTGTAAATATATATTGTAAATACACAAATGACTTTTAGATCCATTTCCACTTGAGTCTAGTGGGGAAAGTTGTGTAAAGTGCCTTTCCCAAGGCCGGCACAAGATCAGTGGCATGTCAGGACTCGAACCCGGGACCTCTTGATTCCAATTGCAAGTCGCGCACGCTGCCGTTGCGCCACACGGCCCCGCATCTATTTTATTAACTATATCACTTTAGTGGAAAAGAGAAATTATATATTTGTATATTTTTTAGAAGGTGATATTTGATATTGTCAAAATGTACCTGTATCTGTATGAGTATAGCCGGAATAACCGCCTTTTGGCGTAACACACCAGCATGTACTCAATACTTAAGGGGTATTTACAAATAAGTCACAGTTGTGATGTTCTGTTTCTTATATATGGTAAATATAGTACATATAACGTTATATGTAGTAAGTATGTCTATCATCAGATTTCTGATTGGCCAGCAAGTACCTTTGGTTTCAATCATGAAATATCACTTTCTGATTTCATGTAATTTAAGTGAAATGAAACAATTTTTATGTTATTTTGTCCAATTTTGGGTCTGGTGTGATGGTACTGAGTTTCAACTAAATGTAGACAAAGAGTTTGTCCTTGGTGCTGAAATCCTGGTTACACCATTTCCTCCAATTTCTCTCATTTCTAGTGAAAATTTGGAAGGAGGCATGGAAGGAAAACTTGAGTCTGACTACATTTAGTTGTTTAAATGTTCATCTTCCAGTTCAGCATTGCTATACATTCCATTGGAACTAACCAATTGAAGAGTTGTAGATTTACAGCACATATGCTTCCAGAATCGGATTATTCGGATTTGTCCTATGCATCATCTTGTTTTTTTTTTTTTTTTTTTAATCCTTTATTCACAACATTTACATGTACATTGTAACATTGTAAAAGGACAACAATACGTGTACATTATATATAAAAAAAACAGACAACCCTATTTATACAAAGAGAATTCTGTTTTAAACATATTAGCTATTGCAATCCCATCATATTTGTCCTTTTCCAGCCAACTTCGAAATATAACGTATTTTGCGATAGTGATAGCTAGGTTTGTGTACTTAATTTCCACAGAGGGATTGGGCAGATCTGTTTTATATCCTAATATTATAGCCTTGAAGTCGATTACAACATTACAGCAAAAAGTCTTGTATATATAATCCTTCACTATTGTCCAGAAAGATTTTAACCTACTACAAGCAATAAACAGATGTTGATAATCTTCTATACAGTTACATAGATTACAGATATTACTGGGTTTTATTTTCCAAACATAAAGTAACTGGCCACATGGCAGTATACGATGTAACAGCTTATAATTCAATTGCATCAAGTGTTTTCCTATTGGAAAATAAGTTTGATTTTTCCATATGTTTTTCCAGTCAGGTTTACAATTAAATTCAGCCTCCCACTTATCCTGTACACCAGGTGTTTCAAATTTTTGTTGCATTAAGAATTGATACAGCTTGGCAGTTTTCATAAGACACAAGTTGGGGACATTGGTAGATCCAGTACTTTCAGTGTTAACTGTTACCTCTGTTTCTTTCAAGCATTTTTGTATAGCATATTTGACAGAGAGCAATTCACATGTCCAGTTTCTTCTAACTTTAAGTTTTTGAAAGACTGCTTTATCGTTCATAAATACTCCATTCTGTACAATGTCTTTTACATATACAAAACCTGAATTTATCCAGTTCGGGTACAAAAGTGGTTTACCTTTTGATAATATGTACTTATTACCCCAGATCATCTGGTTCTGTATACCATACTCTAAGTTGGGATCAGTACATTGGTTATTTACTTTGAACCATGCAGAAAGAACCTGTTCATAAAAGATAGGTAACTTTTCTAGGAGTTTTTCATCAATACTGTTCATTTTGAATACTAAATTTACATCATTACCAAAAGCAGATAGATACTTTAAGGGAATGTATCTCCAAGAGCCATTTCCATAGCATATGCGTTTTACCCAAGAAGCAAGTAGTGCCTCCTTAACACAATAAATATCTAGCATTTTTAAACCCCCTTGATCAAGGTTTCCAATAACTGTCTTACGCTTAATTCTGTCCTGTTTTCCATTCCATAGAAAGTTAAAAAGGGCCTTATTAATCTCATTCAGTGTTGAGTTGTTCACATGTAACATGTTCAAGACATAAGTTAATTTTGTTACTGCCAAGGATTTAATAATAGCTATCTTACCATAGAAGGTTAGGTTTCTTGTTCTCCAAGTATTGAGTACTATTTTCAATTGTTTTACTCTTTCATCCCAATTCAGTTGTACAAGAGTATCTTTACAATGCCCAAAGTAAACTCCTAAGGATTTAATAGGCTCTGAGGGCCACTCAATCCCTTCCAACTGTTTCTTTCTATCTTTCCACAGGCCTAGCCACAGTCCTTTTGTTTTTAATCTATTTAGTTTGAGACCTGTGACAATGTGAAAGTGATCAATACATCTTAACACTTCAATCAGTGATTCTTCACTAGATAGGAATAATGTAATATCATCCGCAACTTGACATAATTTAATTTCGTTTTCATCTATCATAATTCCTTCTACATTTTTGTTACATTGTATAATATGAAACAGTATCTCAACAACAAATAAAAAAAGGAGAGCGCTAAGGGGGCAGCCTTGCTTGATACCCCGTTTAATTTGAATAGTGGCTGTTCTCCATCCATTGTTTGTTATTGATGCAATTCAGTCTGTGTAAATTGTTTTTACCCAGCTGATAAAGGTGGGTCCAAAGTTAAACTTATCAAGAACTTTAACCATAAAGTTGTGTTCAATGGTATCGAATGCTTTTTCGAAGTCTAAAAAAGAATCATCCCAGGTTTATTCTTGTCATCGCAGTAATCTATGATATCATTTATTAATCTAACATTCTGACCGATGAAACGGCCTTTAATGTATGCCGTCTGGTCGTTGTTTATTAATTTATCAAGATGGGGTTTGATTCTGTTGGCCAATATAAATGCGAGTATTTTGTAATCAGTATTTAATAAGCTCAAAGGTCTCCAGTTATCTAAAGACTCAGGGTCTCCTTTCTTGAAAAGCAATCTTAGCAAGGCTTTTCTAAACGAACATGGCAGTTTTTCTTCATTGAGACCCATTGTAATAACATCATGGATCAGAGAGCTTATCTGAGGCCAGAATACTTTGTAAAATTCGCCAGGGAGACCATCAGATCCCGGTGATTTTCCATCTTTCATATTTCTAACAGCTGTCTCACACTCAAGTTCTGAGATTGGTTTTTCACAGTTATCTTTCTCCTCTTCTGTAAGTGTTTTAGGAATGTTAATTTTTCTCAAGATATTCATCAATTTCGTTATCTGCAATGTTTTTAGATGTATATAAAGTTTTATAAAAATTCCGACATTCTTTTAATATAGTAGGCTGATCTTGAATCTTTGAATTTTCTACAGATAAGGCTGTTACACAATTTTGTGCTTGCTTTTTCGTTTTCCAAATTTAAAAAAATACTTGACTGGGTTTTTCCCCTTCAGTAATGTGGATTGGTTTTTGCTCTGATCTGTTCTCCTTTTGCTCTATCTTCATAAATTTTTCTAACTGTTTCTTTGTAGAGTCGTACTCTGCTAAAAGTTGGGTATCTAGATTTTCATTAATGTCTTTCTCAATTTCTTCCAATTTGGACAATAAGCTTTTTTCCAGACTATTTCTTTCTTTTGCTTGTTGTTTTGACCAAGAAATGGAGAACTCCTTTATTTTTATCTTTGCACATTTTCCCAGATTAGATCTGGCTTATTACTTTTAAATTCCATTTTGGTATCAATTATGATTTTTTCAACTTCTTGTTTATAAGTTGGGTCATTTAGGAGACTTACATTTAATTTCCAAATTCCATTGCCTTTTGGTATTTTCTTAGTATACAGATCTATGAATACAGCATTATGATCACTTCTTATTCCAGGATAATGTCCAGCTTCAGAGACATTACTTCTACATGTGCTTGATACAAGCCAGTAATCAAGTCTGCAGGCGACTGCTGGTGTTTTCCTTCTCCAAGAATATTTCTTAAGGCATGGATGTAGATATCGGAAAATGTCAATTAGATCAAAAGAGCGACAGAAATCTTTCAATGGCTGATTTTTTTCAATGGTAGACCCACCTATTTTATCAAGGCTTGTATCAAATATGTCATTAAAATCTCCACCAACAAGCATTGGATAGAGATTCCAATCTTTCAGCCAATCCTGAATACCATACAGGAAATTACTTCTTTCTCTAGGATCATTGGGGGCATAAATACATAGTAAGGTGTATTTCTCCTTCTCATACATAAAATTTACAATAATTTTTCTTCCTTCATGGTCAATTTTGTGTTCTAGAATATCAAATGGTACTTTTGGGTTAAAAAGGATACTAACACCCTTACTATGATTTGTTCCATAAGAATGGATAGTCTTACCACCCCAGTGTTTGTCAATGCTTTGTTGTATATCACCTGTCAGGTAGGTTTCTTGTAAGAGGCATATATCTGCTTTTTTTTGTTTCAGCCACAGTAATGTTTGATTTCGTTTATTATAGTTTCTTAAACCTCTACAGTTAAAGGATATCAACTTCAATTTATCCATCCACATCTTTCAAGAGAGTTGGATGAACATTATTGAAGAGAGAGTTACCTGACATTTGACATACACAATATACACCTAGGTACAAGTAGGTTTTTTTCGTGACTTACTGCTTCCTTTTGTACCCTGCTTCTGTTTACTATAGGATTGTCTCTGCTCCTTAAGCCAGTTTTCTAGTGTGGGCTGTGTAGAGTCTGATAGCTCACACATTTCTGTAGGCTTGTCGTTTGTGGTGTCATCAGTCTTTTTTTGCTTTTTGTGTTCGTCATTGTTCTTGTGGCTGTGACTCTTGCTTCTGCTTCTTGTGTTGTGTTGCACGATGCTTGGTGGAGCTGTTGGTTCTTCGCTGTCAGGAGATGTCCCTCTGTCCTGCTCGTCGCTGACACAGCTGTTCTCATCCGACTGCTCATCTTCAGAATCCATGCCAAGGTTGCAAGCAGGATCACCACGCTTATGTCCAGGTTTTTTGCACTGAACACATACAACAGGTTTGTCGCATACACTCTTGTGATGCCCCGTTTCAAGACAGTTGCTGCATGTGAGTCTCTGCGTTTGGCTGGCTTCTTTCTGTTCCCTGTGATAGAATTCAGCCTGGAAAAGTCCTACGGACATCCTTCGTGGTAAAGGGGTAGAGGGTTTCTCTATGTACAGGAATCTTCTCCCTGTTAGGAAACGTGTTAACTTGCCGTCTTTGTTTCTTGCCCTTTCGTCGATGACCCGACTTGTGAGCTTGTAGCCACGTGAGCGTAGTGTTTTAGCTATTTCTTCGTTATCGTAAGACAACGGTATGTTACTCACTACAACTCTCGTCGATGCTGTGTCTGGTCGTACGACGTAGGGGTTTTTATGGAGCAGGCTTGCCTCTTGTCCTCGTAGCGTGATTGCGCCGGCTTGAAGAAGAGTCAGGCGTGCACCGACGGTTTGTGGATATAGCCGCCAAAAGGCATTTCCTCTTCCTTGCGGTTGTGCTCCTATGATCGAAATGGGGCCGGATACATCCTCAGCGGCTAGGCAGATTTCAAGACAGCTGAGTGGTGCATCCTCGGCGTTTATGGCGATGTCTGAGGTCTGCACAAACACAGGTTCCACTCTCCCGGATTCCTCCTGTCTCTGCTCGTGGGGAGGGGGGTGCGAGGGGGGTTGCGTGGCGCCATGTTGGAACGTCACTGACTGAGTCTGGAAGACGTCGTCTCTACAGTTTCTCGGTGAAAACAGTGCACGAGATGAAGTCACAATGTCCTTTGTATCACCAAGAGTCGATAGAAGGAGCAACAGTGTAAAAAATTGCTAAAAACGTCGCAAACAAATGATTTTCGAAGGTACGCAATTACGAGAGATTTAGAAGACGGCCATATTGGACCATTGCATGATGGGAGAAAAAACCGTAAAAACCATCTTGTTAATATGGTAAGTAAAGTCACAAAGGTTTATACTTAAGCTGTATGATATGGTGTACTTGTACATGTATAACAGAACAGTTATCTTTGAAAGTATTATTATTGGTATTTGCCACCTTTTCTAATGATTGTTGTAACTAGAGAAGGGAGTCCTATGGAGAACATTTCCAAATGGCTGGATGCCGAAACCTTCATCTGACATATTAATTAGTCCTTCCTTCAGGGATGTATTTTACACATATTTTCCCTCATTATAATCCTAGAAATATTTTTGTTGAGTATTGATTGGTTTTGTCAATCTTTACCTCTGTTCTCTTGAATTATGTATGATTTCGTTTATTCTGTATTTTTAGATGACGATGATGATATTTATAAGCCCATAGGGGCTGGGTGCATAATTCCAAGACACCTAGATAACACTTAATTCATTCACTCTTTTCACGGCGGTCTGTTACTACGGTATTCTTTCCCATTGCTGGGGGCGTTCGATAAAGTATCGGGTTACAAGACGCAAATTTGGGCTAACCGCAATACATTTGAAAATAAACAAACTAGTATCAAAGGGAAAATTTCGTTGAAATAAAATAAAATTATTGTCTTTACATGCATTCAATGGTGATTTTTTGCCCTAAATGGATGATTTTTTCGTATTTTGTTAAAAAAGTCGATAATTTTCGGGATTTCGCAACGCCATATTTTAGCCAATCCCCGAGCAAACCTGGCTACACATATGACGCAAGATCACTGATTTTTGTATTTTTCGACGACTAAGAATAAGATGAAAAATCGTGCTTTAGGGATTTTTTAATTTCTGATTCTAAGTATAGTTTTTGACGACAAATAGGTGAAAAATCGAATTTTTTGGCTTTTTTCGCACTCAATTACCCATAATTCAAAATCGAGGGCATTTTTCAAAAATCCCTAAAGCACGATTTTCGGGACAATAGTGACAGTCATTTTGAGCCGTAAATGGGGTATGTTTGACTCTCCATGTTTTCAGGTTTGAACGAGTTTTGCAGACATGTCATATCGCCCGAAAGTGTGCATTGTGTTATTCATACAAGCGTAAAGAATCATTACAGTATTCAAGGTCACCCAAGGATACGACAGTAGCTTCGCTACATGTTACATACCCACCAAAAATTATAGCGGACATGTACTGTCTAGGAAACTGTCTGTATCTATAGAAAAGTGTTGTTTTTTTATCTGTTGCGAGGCACTCAGGTAGACGGGCTTGTTTTGCCGCTTTATTGTAAATGACCGCGGGTGACCCCGAAATGGAACACGGGTTCGATTCGAATTGCCCAGATCGAACACGATCGAACACTGTTCGATCGAACTTTGCAGCCCAGATTTGACCACCGTGTTTATTCATCAAAGACCACCACATTTATTATATACTAGTACTTCTCTTTATTCCTTCCAAGACATAAGGCCATGACTTTCTCCTTCCATCTGGGTCTGTCCTTGGCCACTTCTTTGCTGAGAATCCGCATGATACACATGATATCCTAGCTTTATTTCTGTGTGCATATGAGTTTAATATTGTTGTGAACCCTCTGCGCAACAAAAGCGCTGCCTGGCGCCGACCTGGGTACTGCAGCTCACCTGCCGGGAGTGGCCGTCACGTGACCAACCCGGAAGTCAGGCACGGTTCGGTTTTCAAAAGAGGAACTTCTTCCCTTGTGGCGGTTTCCAGGCCAAAAGAAGTTGGAAATCTTCCCCAGAACACTTTAAGGTAAGTCAGAAAAGTCTTGAGAGGATGTAGATAGATCCAGGGTCTCGTGCAAGGTTCATTCTTAACTTCGGAGCACTTTTTAACACCTTAAACTTTCAGTTAAAGAGACTGGAACCAAGGAGCTTCAAATTATTATTATAGACTGCTGGAACCTCCAAACAAAGTCTTGTATCATGGTTGATCTTGATTATAGTCTTAAAGACGGGCCGTGGGGGTATTGAGGAAGCCCATAGGAAATCTTCAGTTTTGTCAAAGAAAATATGAATTCAAAGTGAGATACGCTAAACTCGTGTGTGCGCGTGCCTGAAACAATCAAGTTACTGTGTGCAGTTCTGACGGAGTTATAAATAGTCTCATGTTACACCGAGAGTGGAGGAGCTGTCTGTGTTGTGCTGTTTGTTGTTGAGTCTTTCTACAGCTGCCAAAAAAAAATTACATTTTAAACAGTGAGATACTATAAAATTGACAAAGGGTATTGACAAGTTAAGCTGTTTCCTGATCAACAGAGGATCGATAGAAATGTTATTGAGAGCTGGGCTGCACAGAGCTTTCTTGGCTATTCTTTTTTCACATAGTTAATTATTGTTGCTCAGGAATGTCAACAACATGCACAAGTGTACGTTGTTTTTACACCATTTTAAATTATTGGTTTGTTTGTTTTATTGGACCCCCATTAGTGTTTTGACATGATATATGAGTTAGGGTCAGTCTCTCAGTCTTGACGTGGAGGTTTAGCCTGTCTCTACATGTTTTGAGCACTTCACACTGACCACCAGGTCCATAACCTCAACCACAGGTGTTTTTCAGTACACTTTACATATGTTAAATGTTGACTAGTCTGACATTTTTTGCTGCTGTGTGTTGATATACACACAGGGAGTCCATGTGTGACGCCTGCTGTGTCGTGTTGCCCTTGGGACTCTCACTGATGCTAGCGGTTAACTCAACCTTGACTCAACCTAGAAACATCAGAAGTGAAATCCATCTAAGGGACACATTTCCACACTTCTTTATTTTGTTCATTTTTCTTTGAACAGCGAATAAAAGGAGCCGACACTGTGTTGTTTGCCTTGTTACGGTACTTGTGCTAACAAAAGCACCTGCTGTGACCTTCTGACCTTGTATTAAACCAAAATGGTGGATGGAGCGGTAACTACATAACTGCTGGTCTGACCTTTGTCTTTTGTAGAGAACTGCATCAGACTCCGACTTAATCTGGCCCATCAGACTTAGGACATCACCGGGATATACCGTTGTGTTTGACAACAGCAGAACTGCAGCAGAAAAAACTCATGGAGAAGAAGGAAAAGGTTGGTTAAACTCTTTTTCTCAAGTCCACAGTCAGCAAGAACAAACAAAGCCACTAGCATGACTGCACCAAGTAGAGAAATGCACCGTGAACCAATAGAAGCCTGCAAGGATAATGATCACTTTTGCAACAAAATTTGAAACCTTTCTTTAAAAAGCCTTCATCAGATTACATGTACATGAATGTATGTTGTGAGTAAAATTTATGTTCTACAGGAGCTGAGAGATGCCGCCGGGCGAGGTGAGGAGGACAGAGTTAAACAGCTCCTGGCTGAGGGAGTCAATGTCAATGCTGCCAGTTATGAGGTAAGTTTTTATATATTTATTTTTTAACAAATTCATGAAAGAATTTTGAAATACTTAGTTTCACTTTCACAATTTAAGTGTGCAATGTTACAGATGAAGTTGATCTTTACACCTCTTTGTGCTACTGATTCTTACAACTTTGTATTATGTAACGGTGGGTTCCCTAACTTCAGACGTGCCCTAAATTTGGACAGATTTTTTTACTGATCTTATTATGCAAAAGTACACGGTGTTTGTTGCCACTGACTTTGCCAATTAAAAAGGGAAATAATCATAGTCAATGCATACAGGTGTTATTTGCATACAATGTATAGTTTTATGTAGGTATTTATCGTTTTGTCGAATATAGCGACAGAAATATACGACCTTTGCCAAGCAGTAACACAAGCGCTACACACATAAGAATATAAATCTTAACAAAACAGTAGAAATTTCGGTCTCTGGGTGTTTTATTTCTGGAAAACTGACCTGAAAAAAACAACGTCAACGCCAACTGGGGGTGCCCTAATTCCGACCTACCCCTAATTCCATTCTAGTTTGAAAAATCCTTGTTGCGGATTTATACATGGGAGCACGTGCCTAAAACTAACCACAAGAATGGACAAAGTTTTTTGTTGATATCGGTATAAAAGTTTGTCTTAATTCGTATACTCCGACAACAGACGAGTGAAAAATCTGTTTGAATTCAACGCTTGTTTGGGGTTTGAAGAGCGTGTCAAAAATGCAGGTTTTGCTTTAGAAACAGCCGCTTTGGAGCAAGTCGCGTAATCGTAAAAAGAGGACATGTTTGGGGCAGAAAAAACAGTTGTAGATTGTTTTAGTCATAATTTGTGTATTATAATTTCTAAACTCTAATCTCAGATCGACCTGTGTTTAACACTAGGTCAGAATTAGGGCACCCCTATTGCGATAGAACGTTCCACCGGCAAAATGACCAAAAACCTGATGTAAGTTTCGCGAACCATTAGGCGCTACATGTGTACACTGAAGTGAAATATATAATACACACTGCTGTGCAGCTTTAATCGTTGTGATCTTTATCTGTCAATATTATAGCACATGTTGCGTGGGTTTCTGGTCAGATAAACTATTACCAAAGGTATGTGCGTTTGCATGGAACAAATTAGGTCGGAATTAGGACCCCTCCCGTCACTGTTGTCTGCATTTCCCATGATTCTCATGGGACCGAGTTGATTACGTATACGATAAGAAGATGGGTTTTCAGTGGATACATGGACTGATACTACACTCTTCTTGTGAGACGAGATGTACACACAATCCTAATTTTACTGTCAAAAGAAAGATGAAATATCATAATTTTGATTAAATTCTATTCTTAGTTTTGTGAGAGAGCTGAAGAGAGCAAAATAACAAAAGCATCCAAAGTTAGGTCACATTCTCTGGCTTAGCCGCTTTCAAGAAGGTACAATAACGAAAACGTCTCACAGAGTTTGTAGCTTCTAACGCGGAGCGTGAAGAGCTGATGAATAGTATGAATGCATTCCCTATCCAAGTATGTTGTTTACATTGAATGTTCTCAAAATTTATTCATCAAAACCTGACCACTCTCCGACAACTAGCGATAGAGTGCCGTGAGTTCAAGCGCGTAAAAATGCGTCCGATGTTAGGGCACCCCCCGTTAAAGTTTGTAGATATGTCAGTGTTTATATTTAGGTGCATCTGACACACCTCATGTCATCTGTATTCTTATCATACACGGGAAGTTTCTGGAAGTTTGTAGCGGTCACAGTTGGTACAAGTACATTGTATGTATGTCTGAACCTTAGACTTACATGGAGCTCCTCTACTCTTGTCTATGTACAGAGATGGACTGCTCTCACCTTTGCATCACACTACGGCCACACAGGAACTGTACAGGCTTTACTCACAGCTGGAGCGACAATCAACACACGAACCAACATGGTAACTTGACTGTGTTATTGTCTGTCATACTCAGTATCTTGACCTGTACCTAGCCCGTCGTGGCATGAATGTACAATAAAGGTATTTCATTATTATTGTCAAGGGAACTGTACCAGCTTCACTTGTGTTGTCCCAACTTTATGGTTATATTTGTTTTGAGCCATGTCAGAACTTGTGGGGGGGGGGGACTCATCATCATCGGTCGGCTGCTGCGCAGGCGACTGCAAGGTCCCTCCACTGCCCCTTGTCGCTAGCAAGGTTGGCGATCTGCTTCTCTGTTAGTTGGTTGTGCTCATCTCCCAGTAGTCGCTGGACATACTTGAAGTAGGAGGTAGGCTGTCGGCCTCGCCTGCGTCTGCCATGAGAGGGCACGTAGAGGGCGTACAGTCTAACAGGTTCATCCTCAGCCATGCGCAGGATGTGTCCCAGAAAGTTCAGCTGTCTCAGACGCACATGCTGAATCAGCGGACTAGTTTGGGTCAGGTTGTAAATGCTGTCGTTTGTTACCCGGTCACGCCTTTTGATGTTCAGCATAATACGGTAACACGAAGTAGCAAAGGAGTTGATTTTGTTCTCCATGTCCTTTGTGATTACCCAAGACTCACAACCATAGGACAACACTGATACACATGAGGCTTTAAAGAGCTTTACTTTAGTGGTAGTTGGGATGCACTCACTCCTCCAGAGATGCTCTAGTTTCCAGAAAGCAACCCATGCCAAAGCTCTACGTTTCTTAAGGTCGTTACTGCTAGAGGCCATCATGGAGCCAAGGTATCTAAAATCTTGCACCTGTTTGATAGGTTCTCCATAAACCTGCAATGACTGACCCGGGCCGGTGTTGTAGCACATGTACTCAGTTTTCAGTACGCTGATCACAAGGTCCAGTTCAGCGGCAGCTGAAGAAGTTTTTGTCAGTTGTTCTTGTGCTCTTCCGCATGTGGACTCTAAGAGAGCGATGTCATCAGCAAAGTCCAAGTCGTTGATCTGCTTTGCCGGGTGCCTTCTGGATGCTCTGGGGTGGGTCACAATCCCCGAGTCACTGTCTACAGTGGCTCTCCTCAGAAGGTAGTCGATGAGGATGATGAAAAGAAAAGGTGCCAAAACATCACCCTGAAGCACTCCGGTAGACACACAGAAATGTTCTGACACTTGCCCTTCAACCAAAACCACACTTTTTGAGTTCTTGTACAGGACACTGATGGCATCTACAACAGCTTCAGGAATGCCATAATGGCGAAGTACAGCAAACATCATCACCCTGTCAATCGAATCAAAAGCTTTTTTGAAATCGATGTATGTCACCCATAGTGGTAGTTGCTGAACTTTAAAACCCTCAGTCATCCTTCTAAGTATGTGTATTTGTTGTGCACAACTGCGACCTTCCCGGAACCCGGCCTGGTTTTTCCTCAGGATAGGGTCTATATGACCGCGTATCCTGTTGAGAAGGATCTTGTTGTAAACCTTTGCCGCGATCGACATGAGCGAGATTCCCCTGTAGTTTGTCATTAGAGATAAGTCACCTTTCTTGGGGAGTGGGATAATGATGTTTGTAGTCCACTGTTCTGGAGGTACAAGTGTGGAGTACACTTCAGCACAGAAACTATGCACGACCTTTGCTATCGTAGTGCCACCACCTTGAAGGGCTTCTACAGTAATTCCGTCATCCATTCCGGCTGCCTTCCGACGTTTAAGTTGTTGTATAGCTAACAGAGTTTCCTCGAGGGAAGGTGGTTCAGTGGAGATAGGAAGATCTCGTTCTGCAGGAAGTGGTAGGACTTTCATCGAGCTGATGTTCTTGTTGTTCAGTAGGGAGCTGAAGTATTCCTTCCATTCCATGAGTAGCTCTGTGTCACTGGCAGGAGGAGTACCATCCCTTTTCTTAACTTTGACTCTCACCCGTTGGTTCCTCCCTGCCAGGTTGTTGATG